AGGAGGAGGAGGAGGAGGAGGAGGAGGAGGAGGAGGAGGAGGAGGAGGATGCATGGCCTGCAGGGATGCTCTGGCTACAGGAAGAAGGTCTCAGCTGATGGATCCTGAGCTTCAGAGTGTTGGCTGCTTAAACTTTTTCCACGTTTAACACTTTTCAAGTGGGACCTTGGTGTATAGATATATAAATCCAACATTTACTGTTAGTCAGAAGAAATTAATTTTAAAACAGTTCTTTGAAGTCAGGTGTGCTGGTGCAAGCCTATATACCCAGCACTTGTAGGTGGAGGCAGGGGAATTGGGAGTTCACTGCTATCTTTGACTATATAGGAAGGTCAAGGCCAACCTGGGGTAAATGACCCTGCCTCTGAAACCAAAGCAAACTAACCCAAACCAAACCAAAACTTTTTTTCTGTTCATTGGCAATGAAAGCAATTTTGTGTGGATGCACATGTGTGCACTTGCTTACTTTTACTTGAGGAACTAAATGTCAGCTGAATACTGGCTGCTGAAAGATGTAGAGCATCTGCAAAGGTTTTCAGAGTTGACTGGTATTTTGATTTTATAATTGTTAAAGCTGAGAATCCTACTTCACAGAAATTCATAATACAAAATCACTGAAGTATCTTTAGGGCCATTCCAGTAATTGTTGGCAATTCTTTTTTCCTCAAGTCAAAAATTCACATAGTGATTTTATTTTATTCTATGAAATTCAAGGCAATAAGTCAAATGTTTGGGACTAGGTTCAATGGTATAGCGTTTGCCTAGCTAGACTCTAGGCTAGATCCCCAGCACTAACCAGCAAGGGTATCCAAAAACTCCAGCACTAGTCTAGTGTGAGGGCAACTCTAGATTTAATCCTAGCACCAACAAAAAAACATAAAGTCATAATTTACAGCAGGATATAAAGGTGTATACCTGTAATTCCAGCATTGTGAGGATGGAGGAAGACCAGTAAAATAAATAAATGAATGAATAAATTAATCCTTTGAATACACTCTAATAATAAGTCTGATGTGCTGAGGAATGACAGTAGGAAAATATTAAAAGTCTTTGTTTTATTTAATTAAGTCTTTATATTTCTATACTAGAAGGAAATTTGCATATACAATAAAACACTGAAATTCATTGCATACAACAATCTCAAATCTGAGCTTATCCAGTGTTTGCTGGCACTTTAAGATGTGACACATGGAAGAACTGGGAGCAGCATCAGAGGGAGGTCCCAGCCTCAGAGCCAGGAGCAGCATCAGAGGTAGGTTCAAGCTACAGAACTTGAGCAGCATCAAGGGAGCCACATGCCTCAGAATTGGGAGCAGTAATAGAGGGAGGCCCCAGCCTTAGCCCCAGGAATGAGAAGTGATCACCGGGTGAAGCAACAGCAGCACTTTCCAGCAGTAGCTTCCAGAAACTATTATGAAAATTCCTCTGGGAAAGAGCCCCTGTGTCCCAGCCAGCATCCACTGCCATTTCTCAGTGGGAGATAACCGGCTACTACATCGATTCAGCCCCATGGACACCTCCAAAGGGAGGAGCATCCACAGGAGCCGTCATCCCACCTGCACCCCAAGGAGTGACCACCTGAGCACTGGGCCCACTTCCACCAGGAGGAGAGTTCACCAGAAGCTCTGCTCTACTTGTGCCTGAAGGAGAGGTCAAGGGAGCCACAGCCCCCAACTATGTCAACTGGAGAAAGAGAGAACCCCTGAAGCACAAGCTCCACCTATAACAATTAGAGGAAGAGATGCATAGGCAACAAAGGTAAGAATACATTAAAAAATAAAAGAGCAATAAGGCACCACTAGAAACTAGTGGTGCTACAACAGCAAGACCCAACACAGATGAAGTAAAAACAAATAATAATTTTATGAGGGTGATTGAGTTCCTTAAAGAGGAAATAAAATTCTCTTAAAGAAATGGGGAAAAAGATAATAAATTGGAAGATAAGGACAAATCCCTTAAAGAAAACCAAGAAAAAACAATCAAACAAATGAAGGAAATGATTCAAGACACAAAATCTGAAATAGAGACAATAAAGAAAACACAAACCATGGGAATTCTGGAAATGGAAAATCTGTGTAAATGACCAGGAACCACAAATGCAAGCACAAACAACAGAATACAAGAGATGGAAGGGAGAATTTCTGGCATTGAAGATAACTTGGAGGAAATAGATTCATCAGTCAAAGAAAAATTTAAATCCAACAAATCCTTAACACAAAACATGCAGGAAATCTGGACACCATGAAAAGACCAAACCTAAGAATAATAGGGACAGAAGAAAGAGAAGTCCAACTCAAAGGCACAGAAAATATATTCAACAGTCATAGAAGAAAACTTCCCCAACCTAAAGAAAGACATGCCTATGAAAATACAAAAGGCTTACGGAATACCACATAGTAGACTGGACAAAATAAAAAAATAAAAAAAAAAAGCACAAAACAAAACAAAACTTCCCTCTTCCCTCAACACATAATAATCAAAACAAGAAAAAAGAACGAATATTAAAAGCTGAAAAGGAGAAAGGCCATGTAACATATAAAGACACACCTATCAGAATTACACCTGACTTCTCAGCAGAAACAATAAAAGCCAGAAGGTCCTGGTCAGAGGTTATGTAGACCACGGATGAAAGGCCAGACTACTTTACCCAGCAAACCTTTCAATAACCATAGTGGAGAAAACAAGATATTCCATGATAAAGCTAAATTTAGACAATACATATCCACAAACTCAGCCCTGTAGGAAGTACTAAAAGGAAAATGTCAACCCAAGGAAATCACCTATGTCCAGCAGAACACAGGAAATAAATAAGCTTAGAGAAGCAAATCCCAAAGAAGGAAATTGAAAGCACAATGCCATCACCAACAAAAACAACAAAAAATAACTGGAACTAGCAATCACTAGTCATTAATATCCATTAATATAAATGGTCTCAATTCACCTATACAAAGACACAGGCTAACAGAGTGGATATAAAAACAGAATCCATCCTTCTGCTGCAGACAAAAAACATAGCTCAACCTCACAGACAGACATTACCTCAGTGTAAAGGGTTGCAAAAATTATTCCAATCAAATGAACCTAAGAAACAAGCTGGTATAGTTATCCTAATATCTAGCAAAATGGACTTCAAACTAAAATCACTCAAAAAAGGTAAAGAAGAGCATTTCATATTCATCACAGGAAAAATCCATCAAGAGGAAATTTCCACTCTGAACATCTATGTCCCAAACACAATGGCTCCTGAATTTGTAAAAGAAATATTACTAAAGCTTAAAACACAAATCAAGCCCTACACACTAATAGTGGGAGACTTCAACACCCCACTCTCACCACTGGACAGATCTGCCAGACAGAAGCTTAACATAGAAATAAGGGAAGTAATAGACTCAAATGGACTTAACAGACATCTATATAACATTCCACCCAAACACAAAAGAATATACTTTCTTTTCAGCACCTCATGGAACCTTCTCAAAAACAGATCACATACTCAGTAACAAAGCAAACCTCAACAGATACAAAAAAATTGAATAAACCCCTGTACCTTGTCAGATCAGCATAGGTTAAAGTTAGAATTCAACAACAACATTAACTTTAGAAAGCCCACAAACACATGAAAATTGAAAATGATCAACCGAACCACAACTGGGTCAAGGAAGAAATAAAAGACTTCCTAAAATTTAGTGAAAATGATCTCACAACATACCCAAACTTATGGCACATAATGAAAGCAGTGCTGAGAGGAAAGTTCATAACACGAAATGCTCACATAAAGAAGCTGGAAAAAATGCACACTAGTAAATTAATAGAACTGACAGCACTAGAACAAAAGGAAAAAACTCACCCAGAAAGAGTAGATGGCAAGAAATAGTCTAATGGAGGGCTGAAATCAATAAAATAGAATCAAAGAAAACAATGCAAAGAATCAATGGTCTGTAGTTCTCTTTCTTAGTTGTGTCTTTGTGTGGCTTGGGTATCAAGGTTATTGAAGCCTCATAAAAAGAGTTTGGTAATGACCCTTCTGCTTCTATTGTGTGGAATACTTTGAGAAGAATTGGTATTAGTTGTACTTTGAATTTCTGGTAGAATTCTGCAATGAAGCTATCTGGCCCTGGGCTTTTTTTGGTTGGGAGACTTCTAATGACTGCTTCAATTTCATTATAGGTTATAGGTCTATTTAAGTTGCTTATCTGTTCTTGATTTAATTTTGGAAAGTGAAATCTGTCCAGAAAATTGTCCATTTCCTTTAGATTTTCAAATTTTGAGAAATATGGGTTTTCAAAGTATAAGATCCTCCTGTATCTACCCTAGGCACCACATCCCTACCCAGAGCCCTTTAAAGTACAGTTGTGCGAGCTTCTGTGTGACCTTGCTCTTTCTTCTCTCTCTGCCTCTGATCCTCCAATCAGAGACTCGTTTGGGTCAAGTGGACTTATGAAGCTTTTCCTGCCTCAGGTAACTTCTGCCTTCTAATTTTTCTTCATACAGAACTCCCAACATGAAGGACTCCTTCATGTTACACTAGCTTCTGGAGTCATTTTCTCTCCCACATAGCTCAGTCCCTCCCACCATACACTTGCTACAATCTGTAATTACATGTAATTACACACTGGATCATATCTTATTTGCTTCCTCTCCAACTGAGCTGCTTCTAGAAAATAGCTGGGCTTCTGTCTATCTCTTGTTGGAGAAAAAAGAGCGTAGCTCAGGGACAGGCACAGAGGTGGTTCTGTAAATATTTGTTCAGTAAATTCGACATCTTCTATCCCATCATCTCTTGCCATGAGTGTTTTAGTGAGAATACCTCCATTCCCAAGGGAAACAAAACATAATATCATAAAGTTTATAAAAGCCAGAAGACTTTGTTTTTTACAAACATATAAATTATTTTATTTACAAAGCCATGTTACAAAAAAAAGGCAAAAAAAAAATACAATCGTTCAGTGGAGAATAAATACTTCCAGACCTGGTGCTGAACCACGGCAGTATCAACAGATATATTTTCTTTCTTTCATTTAGAAATTGTAAGCCATAGAGTTTACTATTTACACCTACTTCAGACATTTATTTGCTTACATCATCACAGGCATGGAATGGATTCTATCTGATAGTGCTAATTCATAAAGATGCGGGACAAAGGAGGAAAATACTTAGTGTTAAAAAATATGGATCATAGAAAAGAAACCCACTCTATGAGTGTGGCCTTTGTTGAGTATCATTGGACATGCGCTCTTCAAAATTCTTCTGGAAAAGCTTCTAAAATTGGTTAGTAGGAAAGGACAAATGAATAGGTGCAAATTCTTGTCTGTGCAACAATAGTTATTTAATTTACCCCATGACTGACCGGCTACATAAAACCCAGAGAGTCTTGTTAAAGTGCCATGGGCTGACAGAATAACAAAATATAAGGTGTAAATAGAAAATTTCCTTTTTTTTTTTTTAAACAAGAGTTCACTGAGAATCAGCAATAATAGAATACGCTGTATAAACTATTTTCTACAAAGGTTATCAGCGTTATTTACAGTTGGTACATGGATACAAAAGAAGGCATACAAGTTATCCAACTCGAGTTCGTGATTTTTAAATTTTATATGGCTGACAGGTCTATGCATTGCGTTATGCCTAACATCCAGCGCTGCTGAGGCTGAGACGAGTCAGGAGCTCCTCAGGCAGACAGGGTGTGAGCAGCCAAGGGTCCGAGACAAAAGGCTGAGTGGGGTGTGGGGAACAGAAAGACCAGAGATGCTACTCTCCTGATGCTTTAGGGGTTGAATTCCATGAGAACAAACACAAAGGAAATCTTTTCTTTGCATTCCATTGTTTTTTTCCCTAGCTATAAGCATTTAATACATCAGAAAATAAACCCAGGGATGAGTGTGAAGGAAGAAATACCGTGGTCTTTCCCTTTTTGCTCAGTTTTCTGGAATTGTCCTCACCTTTTGGTCAAAGTAGTCTCTCAAGAGAGTGAGCAGCACTGGGTGGAGGGAGAGCTTCTTTATCCCAGCTTTGCATGTACGACACAGATCGCACTGACCTGAAGCCGGCTTGCTCCCTCTGTCTCTACGAAGCTGCTGCTATTTCTCAGAGGCAGCTGGCTCACCTCTCAACCTTTGTTTTCCCTCTTTGAATAGAAGAGTTTAGGGCCAGAGGCTTATTTTGTTGCTGAGACTTGTTTTGTTTTTGATCCTGCAAGTTTTGCAACTCAAAATAAATTATATATATATATATATATATATATATATATATCAACAGACAAATAAAACAGAACAAGACAAAAACTGTGCAAAAATAACAAAGATATGTACACACCTTTTGAGTCTGAAGAAATGTACAATAAAAACATAATTCAAAGAACATTTTAAAAATATAAACATTGCTTAAACTTTCCTAAGTTTCATATTGTTTCTGAAACTATTCTGGTCAGTTAGCTCTGTAATATAGTAAAACATAAATTATTACAAAATTAACATTATAAAAATTTACTTTAAGAATATCTTCTAAACTTTTGTCAAAGGCTCTAACCTTGTTTATAATTTCTTAAACATTTATAAGTTTTAAAATCTGTCTTAACCTTAAAAAAAATAATCCCCCCAAAGTAACAATTACCCCTTAAATTTGCCATCCTCCCTACCCCCAGACATAAATAAATCAGCATATAAGTGCACTTTTAACACTGGAGAAAGAAAAATGAAATAACCTAACCAATGTCCTGGTGTCTAACATCAACTCCTGACTTAAAAAAATCTTCATTTTTATATTTCAAAGTTTAAGAATCCTGTAAGAAACACTGTCAGTGCAATTCCATCGACAGAAATAACTCCTTTTGCCTCCCATCTTTGCAGACTCCAATTCTGTGGTGAAACTTATCAGTAGTCTCATCTTTGGGTTGGGAGGAAAGGGATGGGAAGGAGATCTTTGGGAAGGGAGAGGGGGTGTGCCCAGCTGCAAAACTAGCATTCGCTCCTGATCTTATGATGGCACAGGTCGTTGTGAATTCTTTCTGATTTCCCATATGGTACTGCTGTTTCTTTCAAACTCCAATGTGAACAGCTTACTAGCCTTGGCGCTCCAGTGTCTCCCTGCCCACACCTCTTCTCTATGCTTGTCTTTACCAGTGCTCCGGGCTGTCTGTCTGATGATGGAGTGCAAGCTTATCTAATATGTGTCTGTGCAATCATTGGTGCTTCTTATTCCCTCAAGGTGTTTGGCACAAAAAACTCCATGCACTTTTCTCTGGAGGATCCCTCTTGGCCCCAGAAACTTCCTGATATCTACAGAACTCTCAGGAGCTGTGACCACTGTGTTACCTCATGAAGTGGCTTTCCTGGGTCCTATGGGTTTTCTGTCTCTGGCTGACCCAGCTTTAGGAAACTGTGCAGTGTGACCAGGGAAGTACTCTTCAGAGTATATTCCAAACAAGCTGTGACCATCGCAGTCATCGGCTCCCACCATCTTCCCTTCCTCTCAGGTCCTTGTACCTGACCAATTTATCTTTTCTGCACAGCTGGGCCTCACCACTGAGTAAACCACATTATTAAAGGGCCACTGTCCTCACTTTAGTGGCTGGCATTTGGCTCTGGACAAGGAGAACTACAGAAACCAGCTGAAGATCCACCTCTACCACATGATGCAACTCCCAGCATGTGGTCCAGTGCTGCTGGTGGGAGCCAGCAGCTTCTGATGGCCACTGGAGCACAGTGACTGACAGATGGGATGGAAGGGCAGGGTGGGAAAGGAGAGAATGAGCTCTTCGAGCACTAGCGTTCAAGAGCTTCTGTGGGTGCCAACCTGGAACCAGAACCCGGGAGGGACTGGAACCAACAGTCTGCAGCCTCTGTTCTCAGGAGCACTAGCAGCGTCAGGAGAAAGGGGAGTAGCTCCAAATGTGGAAGAATATATAAGACATGACAAATGACAAACAGAGAGGAAACACTGTTTTCTGTAAATCTCAAATTCAGGTTCTTTTGCCTCCCCCCCACCTTTTTTTAAATTAAAAATCCACGTGAAAAAAAGAAGAAAGGCCAAAGCCACAAGCAGCGTCCAGGAAACACTCCCCACACAGGCCAGTGCCTTCCCTTGCCCTGACTTAGTTTCCTGGGGAGGATGCCAACCGGGACTGGTTTGAAGTGGCTTCACCATCTTGTTAGGGAAGAGTCCTTATCCTGCCCATTCTGCTTGTGTTCTTCTAGGAAAGAAAAGAAAAACTCGTCTCATTAAAGGTGATTCATGAGGATCCAGGAGTGAACCTCTGTTCCCTCATCTGTCACAGGAAGAAAGGGAAACACTACTTGGACTGCTAAGAGCAGCCATGCTTTGTAATTAAAAGGCTATCTATGAAGAAGTCCAAGGCTAGAGGGAAGAATGGGGACAAGGGCTTCATGGGATAGAGAGCTGGGATGCCTGCATGTTTTCTTTGTATCTTCATTTCTATCAGTTCAATTTTCCCCCTACATAACATAAATGACACAGTTAGTTACCAAGAGGTTTGGAGATTTGGGGTGCACATGACTAATCTCGGTGAGGCCATCTTCATTTAGCTGAGTACAACTTAGTTCCTACAGAGTTGCTACCTGCTGTTTGTATTTTCTACAATTGTCTCCCTGCTTTTCCCAGGCATGTGCACAAACTCCTTTGGAGAAAGTCACTGATCTCTGGGCTTACACATTGATTACTCCTACTCCTACAAGGGAATCAAGACCACTGAAAGTCTTCCTGAATGTTCCCACTGTGAAAGCACACACCTAGTGGGAACAACAGCTCATTGGTGGTCTTGGAGAAGGCAGTGGCTGACACTAGCAACACCCCTCTGCTAACTTATTTCACTTTCATGATGCTCTTAGGAGGTAGTATCAGTGTGCCAGCTAACAAACAAAAAAACTGGATACCTAAAGAAGTAATGTGCAGACATTACAGACATAACAGTCATTATAGAGAACACTTGACTTTGCTATGTGCCAGAGAGTGTTCTTGCTATTTTTCAGATACTTTACATGAATAAACTAATCCTCACATAGGTTATAGGACCCTAGGGACCATCATGATCCCCATTTTATAGAGAAAGAAATGGAGGAGGAGAAATAAATTGGTCAAGTATCCACAGCTAAGAACTAGAAGGTCCATGGTTGGAAGCCAGATTATCTGCTCTGCTAGAGGGGAGACTTGAACCAGGCTCCGACCCCAGTGCATTGTTAGTGGACTGATGTTGGCTCTATGTGGGAACATACCTGTCGGCTGTGTCCTGGGCTGGATATGCTTGAAGGACTGGATTGTGACAAAGCTAGGCTGCTATTTTTTCCAACCTGAAAGACACCATGAACCCCCCCTTCAGACACGGAGGTGGCTACAGAAAAACCCTCTGACGCTGCATGTTGTCAGGGCAGAGGACTAGGACAGTACTACACGTCCCACTCCCTTGACTACTCAGGGTGGGTGCTCCCAACTTACACGGCAGGAAAAGGACAACAGTTCATGGGGATTTGAAGATATACTTCTCCCAGAGAGAAAAAACATTATGGGAGCTCTTCAAATGTGCACACCACAGGCAAAGCTTGTCTCTCTAGCTCAGGAGCTCACAAGCCCATGCACCTCGGACAGGTGCAGGCCACCTTGTTTCTAGCCCTGGCTCCTCTGGTTGTTGCAGGTCTTTCTGGCTAAGAGATCCAGCATTCAACCTCTTGTTCTTCAGAAAACCAGTTATGATGCTGGACTGCCCTAGGAAGGAGGGGGTGGGGTACTCTGCCCCTGGGTACTGCAGGCCTGGGGACACATATGGCTTCTCTGTGGGACTGTCCTTGGCCCCTGGTGGGGTGGGGTCTGAAGAAAGCTGATGCCAGGATTCAGTCTCATGGATCCAACTCATTTGCAGAAGCAACTCTTGCCCCAGCCCCCAAACAGCCCTACCACTATCTTCGTTCCCCTTCTGCATATAGGCACATGTCTTTCACTCACAGTCCTGCTTTGTGTCCAATTTAATACCTTGATGGAATTAAGAGAATACAATTAGGAGAACCTGCAAGTTCTCCGTAATGCAGTTTCATTTTGGATTTCTTTTGAAACAGTACTTCACTATGCAGCTGAGGACGACCTTGAACTTCTGAACTTCCTGCCCCTATCTTCCCAGTACTGGGGTTACACATGGGTTGCCATACCTGGCTCTCGGCTTAGGTTTCTTGAGCTTTCCTCTCTATGTTCTAACAAAACCAACACAGTTGCCAAAGACCTTTTCCTTTTCCTAATACTTGGAAATGCCGCATGGTGACTCCAGCCAAATCCTTTTCTCAGTGGCCTGGTGACAAGCATTGAATTATCTATCACTTTGCTGGGGGTTGGGTACAGCCTGGCCTGCAGGCAGCTATCAAGACTCTCCTGGTACCCACTGAAGGCGGCTTATCAGCTCTCTGCTGCTAGTTCCACTGACTCACCATGCTAAGCATTTCAGACAGTCTGGGAGCCAACAGGCCAGCACTCAATACATAGGCACTTCAGACTTGAGAGGAAGGCCGAGAGCCCAGAGTCAACTCCTGGGTTTCAGTCCCTCCCCACTATTCACCTGCTGTGTGACTTTTGGAAACTCATCTAACCTTCCTACACCTTGTTTGCCTTGTGTATAAAACAGGTTAATAACAGGTTAGGTATTGAGTTCTTGGATCTCAAGTGTTTGGGGACACAGACTACCAGTTACATGCCGTCAGCCAGTAGAACTTGATCTGAAATGAGGAAAGGAATATGACTTTGCTGCAGCAGGGGAGGTTCAAAAATCCAGTGGAGTGGCCCTGCCTGGCCACCCGTTGGAAACACGGATTGGGTGATCTTACTCCCAGCCTGCTCACCCTCAGTCTGTCTTTTCACAAGACCCCCAGGGTATCTGTAGGGATATAGTCCAGTAGAAGAAGCTGTGTGTGCCTCTTTCTGAGTCTAGAGATGATACTAGCTAGCAATCTAGTCTCTGGGTAGGATGCAGGGGGTGCTGACGAGATACAACATTGGAGGGCCCATGTTTCACCTAGGCCAAGGCTGCAGTCGTCTGGCCCTTGCTCATATGTGTGCTTGTGAATCCCCCTCAGGAGGTGCTCTTCTTGGGGTTCTGTTAAGTGTCATATACAGTGACACAAAACATTAAAGCGGTGGTTCTCAGCCTGTTGGTCTCGACCCCTTATGGGAGCTGAACAACCCTTTCACGGGGGTTGCAGATTAGACACCCTGCATATGAGACATTTACATTACAATTCATAAAAGTAGCAAAATTAGTTATGAAATAGCAACAAAAATAATTTATAGTTGGGGGGTCACCACAATATGAGGAACTGCATCAAAGGGTAGCGGCATCAGGAAGGTAGAGGCTCTACATTAATGCACCTTCTATCTCTCCAGAGTCCCCACCTCTTGGGGGGGGGCGCTGGCCTTAGGGTCTGATCTGTTAGTTCTCTGGTGATAAACCTGGGCTACCTTCCAGAAGGGCGGCTCTCAAAGCCCACTCAGAAAAGGGTGAGGAAACTGGGGTCCTTCCTTCCAGCTCTGAGCTTCCATCTGGTGGGCCCAGAGTAGTAGAGGGCTGTAATCAGTAGCTCTCGCAGGCTGAGGAGACAGCCTGGATTTGGGGATTGGAAACCAACTCCCAGGAAAGATACAGCTACCCTTTGGCTGTCAGCATGTCCCAGCTCCATTACAGTGCACACTCACGCAGGTGACCTGGCACTGAGTCCTTCCTTTGCTATGGGGGCAAGGGGCAGTTTTGCTATAGGAAGGGAGGGGATTGAGGCAGCTTGATGAGGTGAGGACAATCACCTGGTGGCAAGATGCTCAGGCTGTCACTCTCCAGGTGGGACCTGATATCACTTAACCAGCCTGGGTCTCAGGCTCATCCTGAAGGAGCTCCAACAGATCAGATCAAACTTCTTAGCAACAAAACTCTTTAATGAAGTAGTCCTCAGGGCAGACAAAAGGAACGGAGGAACTAACAGCCTCTCTGTGTCCCATCTGTATCCTGATGACTGCTTTGTGCCCCCTGTGCTGGGTTCTTGTGAGGACTAAAGGAAGTGATTACTGTAAAGTACTTAGCATAGGGACCAGCAAAGTGAGGGTCTTACCAACAACTCTCAGGAAATAGAGCCATGCTTGTGTTACCTGCAGCTCCCCCTACCCCCGAGAGCCGATGAAGGCAGTACCAGGAGTTCCCTTACCTGCCGAGAGGAGGTGCTGTTAACGGGATCGGGCACCGGTGCAAGAAGGCTGGGCGGGTTCTTTTTGTGGACACTATTCATACCAGGCATTTTAGTGATTTTACAGGCTTTGCTACTGGGACTTGAGCTCTTACGCTTTTTTCCTTCTGATTTGTCAAAAGAGAGGGGCAGAGAACACACAGCATTGTGTGAGGCCAAAGAGAGGTCCCCTGCATGGAGTGCAAGGGAGGGCACGGAGAGGGGACAGGAGCCGCTGCCGCCACCCACAGCGCCCACCTGTCTCACTATGTCCATGGGGCTGCTGGGTAGCGAGGTCCGTCCTGAGGGCTCCAGCTTGGCACTGTGTGGGCTCACCCCATTATTTGAGTTGTGCACAGACAGACTGTTATAGGGAGGGGATGCCTGATAGGAGTTCAAGGAGGAACTGGCATTCAGAACGCAGTTCTTTTTGTGGGGCCCTGACAATGGAGACGAAAAGGAAGCCTGAAAGGATAAGGAGGAGGAAGTCGAAGACTGCGGCTTCCTCTTTTTGTTACTTGGAGATTCGTCGCTATGAGCTGACGGGTCTTTGACTTTTGAGGATTTGCTGGTTTTGGTTTTGGATGGCTTGTGGGATGAGGAAGGAATGACAGCTGGTATTGGGGACACAGCAGAGGGGGCCTTGAAGGTTGAGTCCATGATGCTGAGGGTTGCAGCCACATGGGGGAAAGCTGTGGTGTGGGACATGAGGACACGTGGGTCCGGCGATGCCACAAAAGCTGCGTCTGAGAGCATGGCTGATGTCATTATGTAAGAAGACGTGAGTCTCGAGCTGATGGGAGCTGAAGGAAGATACACAGCACTGGGGTTGCTGAAAGGCTGCAAAACGGATGCTGGAACAGGGGTGGTGATGTGGGCTGCTGGCGAGGGCATGGGACTATCTGCCGCAGGAGGGATCTTCCTAAACACGAGAGAAGAGCCAAAGAGAAACAGTGAGACATTGGATTGGCATCACTTGGGAGGCCGGGTGAGCTTTGATCAGCAGGGTTACAGAGGACACCCGGGAGGACCAGACTATGGAGAATGAAGCCTTGAAGGATGATGAGATCTGAAGGATGGCCCTTCCCTATGCTGCCCACTAAAGCAACATCACAACGTCAGCTTCTATTTTCACCCTTAAGAGACTGTTCTCTAAGTTTGGTGACTGAAGACTGGCTGATCTGGTTCATGACTAAAAGGCAAATGCTATTAAGACTATAAATATCCTGAGTAGTCTCCTCCACCTCACACACTGTTAGCTGTGATGAAAGTGGTTTTCAATGAGGAGAAAAGGCCTTGGCCTCCTGGACATGTCCCCCTCTGCTTACTGCAACCTCTTCCATTCTTCTTTCCCATGCTACTTTTGGCTGGAGATATTCTGAAGAAAACAAAAAAAGAAAACCATCTTCCCACTTGTCAGCATCCTCTTGTGTTTGCTACCCAATGCCTCTGGCTACTCTGTAGAGAACATTTCCACAGTAGCTTATGGCCACTGTGTTGTGGTGGCCATGGAAAATCAGTAGCTCTATTTCAGTGGGGTTAGTACAGGGCTGCCTGCCCTTCAATAAGTCCTCCTGTTCCTGAGCTGAGAAAAGGTGAGAGTCCTGGATTCTGTGTCCAGAGGGGACCAAGAATTTAGGTGAAAAAATGTGGGCAGAAGACCAGCATGTGAACAGGGGTTCAGACAGTCATTGCTTTCTTGACTGGCTTTTTGGAACTGATAGGAATGGTTCCTGAGGGCAGAGTCCATGGACCAATGCCAGCACTAGGCAGGGTGTCATTCTTAAGGCCTCCACATACTTGTTTTTAGACAGAGTCTCACTCTTTAGCCCCAGATGGTCTTGAGTGTGTGGTCTCTTTCCTCAGCCTTCTAAATGTGGGATTATAGGTATGTGAAAGCACTTAGCCATAAAATGCCTTTTGACTTATCCTGTAAATGGCTCTATTTCCATCTTAGGGCTTCGGTCCATGCTGCTGCTACTCTTGGGACCAGGAGATGGGGGTACAGTAGGTATGGGATCATAGTCTGCTCCTGATTTTGAAAGAAATAAGTGACGTTAGGAGTCAGAGAATGCTTTCTTGTTTTTTGCAGAGCCCTCTGCTTGTTCCCCAGTGTGTGTTTTCAGGGGCTTCCCTTCTCTAAGGTAAGTTCCTTCTCACCCAGGGCAGATGGACCTTGGACCATCCCTTCTCCTCTGCAGACCAGCTCCAGGTGAGAAGTTACCCTCTGCTGACATTCCCCTCTGAAGATCACTTGTCTGACACTTGCAGTAGAGCCTGTGGCTTCCATCTCGAGGGTGGAATCCAGTGGCATCCTTGAGTACAGAAGCAGTGTCTTTGAAACTGTCAGACCAAGGAAATGAAATACGAAAGTGTTGCCAAACCTACATCAGCCATGATGGTGTCTGAGAATTTCCTTCCTCTGAAGCCCATGAGGCATCAGAGCTCCTGTTGGCCCTGAACAAGATGCTACATGGATAGATAATGCTGTGATGAACGAATGAGTGTGTGAACAGATGGATGAAGGGGCGGTGAATTGGAAAGCAGGTGATCTCAGCAGCAACACAACTGTATTGTCAGGGGCTATGCATGCGGGGCAGGGATTCCCATGGAGGCAGACCATAGAGGTCTGCACACATCCTTAAAACTGTCTGACCCTGCATAACCCTTCCCTGACAGGGCAAGGTCACATTCTTGGAGGCACTGGCAACTTTCTTACTGTCTTTGTTACCCTACTGTGGAACTGCATGTGCTCCCACTGCTGTGCTCTCACCGGCTAAATTCAGAGAAACAGACACAGGGGTAGACGTTTGACTCTGAATTATAATAAGTGTAATTTACAAGTACCAAATAGTTAATTTACTTAAGCGGGTGGAACTTCATTTCGGGACCTAGAATGTCCCAATTTATATTTTTCTCATTAAACAATACACATACTTCCAATTGTGCAGACAGGCAGAATTGAAGTCCTAAATCTTACTTGGCCCCTGCTCAAGATTGGAATGACTGCTACTTCTGGTATATTTCCTAGATCTTTCTTTCCTCTCCTCTCCAACCATCAGTGGTAGAGGAGAGGTGGGAGGTGGGTATGTCCCTGCAAGCCTTTCCCCTTATATTAAAAAATTTCAGTGTTTCTTAGTTGCCCAATGGCAGCAGGTTTCACCTTTGCTGGGCTGCCTGACTTTGCACACTGGCCTATAGGAAGTCCCATAAAAAAGCCCAGAAATGTGAATAGTTCCTGATTACTCCCATCCTCCCCTACCAGCTGCCATGGAGATGCAGATGCTGACCTGGCTGAAAGAGAATACTGTGTTGGCGTCTCCTGATGCAGACTTAAATGCTTGTTAAAGAAAAAAGAGTCTTGGCCGTTCCTTTTCTTCCTAATGTCTTCCATGCCCCCATCGGCTGCCATCCCTCCAGGTTCGGGCCCGTCAGGGCCTGGAGTTTGGGCAGCGAGGTTGAGAGGGCAGCGGGGTGCTACGCTCTCCAGAGTTGACACCCAGGCAGCCCCAATGTTGCTCAGTGACAGCAGATTGGTTAGGCAAGTCCTGAACAGAGGGGAGGGACCTGATGCCCTGTGGCTCGGGCTTCTGTGCCTGAGGAGGAAAGGAATATGGAGCTTGAGCTGACAGTATACCAGCGAGCGAAATACAGACCAACACATTCCTTCCAAGTGCCAGGGATTCACACTTTTATAACACAGGAGGCCAGAGAGCTGGGATAATTACCAGGGCTGGCTGCCATGTTTGGAAGCTAAAGCAGAAGGCCAGGTCACCAAATAACCAAGAACTACATAATCCCTATGCAGGACTTTCTATGATTTTAAATGCATACAAACAGAAACTAATGATGCCCTGTAGACAAGCAGGGCAGTCACTCACTTGGGAAGACATGATAAGCTTCTCTTGTGGCCCTTTCCTAGTTGACATAGCAACCTCTGTCCTACATCCCCTGTGAGTACCCTGTGAGAAACAAGGGGGGAGGGGTGGGGCTCAGGTCTATGTGTGCAAAGGGGCTAAGGTGACAGATCTGCCTTGGAAAAGGAGCAAGCTGTGGGTTTGGATTCCTCTTTCTCTGGATGCCCTGTGGCCTCTCCTGGGGCATGACATGAACCATCCTTGTGTATATAGCTAAGCTCCTTAGGAGGAGCATAGGGTAGGGACATTCAGTGGTTAGCTAAGTGGTCAAAACGTAGCTTCTTATTTGTCATAGTTGAGAGGGTCCAGGCCTACTATTCCTTCTGAGGAGCATACTCAGTTTCTCCCCTTTCTGTGAGTCCCCTATAAAGTGTAAGTGCATTGGAAACGGTGCAGAGTAAATAATGGATAACAAACTGGAGGTTAGAGAAAGAGAAGCAGAGGTGAGAAGAGGGCCCTAGGGAGACAGGAAGGGCCAAAGACAAACTTAACCAACTTCACAACACTGTTCAGATCTGCCCTTTGGGCAACTGTACATAGTTTTTAATGATGATAGCAACTAGTTAGAAATTGGTTTGTAACCATTATGAAAATTTTACTATTGCTCCTGAAGCACTGACATCACAAACAGAAACACACTCAACATCTTTAGACAATCTGTGTAGTGATTAAAAAACAACAACAAAGGCCTATAACACAAGGTCTTACCTACGATCCTTTCATTTGGTTGAGAAGGTTACCAATACAACCATCTCCCGAGAAGACAAAGCAAACAGTATATTATAGGTATTCTTAAAGGCTATTAATTAGAACTGACATCCAGAATCAATCAGGAATGCTGATTCAGAATCATTTTTGTCTATGCCAAGCCAAGTGCTGAGGCTTGTCTATAGGGTTAGGGCTCAGGTAACAGTAGAGCAACTCTCAACTTATAGTGCAAAGAAATTGCTCACTTACTTCCACATCTGTGAATTCAAGTGTTTTTCTACCATGGAGTTTAGTGCGAACCGAAAACGATCCCATCTTCTATCAAACACATAGTACCCTCGTCCCATGAGGCGACTCCCAAATGAGCAGAACTAGGAGGGGAAAAAACACTTTAATTTTGATTACAAGTTAATAAGCTAATATAAAGTAAACTGAGAAAAATAACATTTGCATAAAAACACACAAGGGTACAATTTTATTCAAAATAAAATAAGCAACTGGTATCGAAGCCAAAAATATTCCTATGATGTAGTTTGAGCTCTGGATTCTTGGCAGAACCTCACATTTAAGCCAGTGATTTTTCTGTGGCATGGAGAGCCACACTCTTTACTTCCGAGATGGAGCCAGTATTTTAGAATAGAAAACAACAGAACTGCATCCCAAAGGACTTTGTAGTTCCATCTATTCATCACAGGACCTTTCTCTAGGAACTTGGGGTTCCCTGCCTCCATCCTGGAAATGACAAAGGATGGCCCTTCCTGTATGATGCCATAGAACTGCTTCCTTCCTCCAAGAGTTGCCTTTCCATGCCAGTCCAAGCACATCTGCACTATTTTATTTGTTTTATGTGCTTTGGTGTTTGGCCTGCATGTATGTCAGTGTGAGGGTGTCAGATCTTGGAGTTATAGACAGTGGGAGTCCTCTGGGAGAGCAGCCAATGATTTTAATCACTGAGCTATCTCTCCATCTCTGCTAAAACACTGTTTTAATTTTTGAGACAGGGTCTAACTCTGTAGCTCTGGCTGTCCTGGAACTCACAATGCAGACCAGGCTGGCCTTGAACTCACAGAGGTCTGCCTGCCTCCCTCTTTAGCCACAACTGCACCGTTTATCTGCCCTCATTCCTCTGAGCTCTTACTCAGTCCCCTTTGCCATCTGTTTCCCTCTGTGGCAATTATGATACTAGCCTTTGATACCCAATTTATTATCCTCATTGATAATGGCCTCATCTGTCTAACCCTGCCACTGTGAACACTGATGACACATCTTCTATACATTATATCAGACCCATTGTATCTTAGACATAATTTCATATGTGATGGCTATCAATATTTAAAGTGTGGGACTTAATTCTCTTTCTCTTCAGTGTAAGGTTCATTGATATCAGGAATAAAATAAACCACTGCATTGAAACCTGATGACTGATATAGCAGGGATTTAGTAAACATTGATTATAAGGTAGAACAACTGAAGGCCAGTAGACAGAAATGAAAGAAGCAGCCTTTGGAAAGGTGACATTTGCTGGGTCTAGAGCTCAGGGAAGCCTGCAAATGCCTCCATAATTCAACTTGGACACCTTCCCCATCCCCCAGGCCTCTGTCAGCTCCCTGGATGCAAGCCCAGATTCAGTGCTGGATTGGCACCCATTCCACAAACATGTCCTGGAACCAGCCTTAGGAGGAACTGATAGGTTTTTCCCTTTGTTGTTTCTGCTTGAGCTGGTGTGTGTGTTGTGGGGAGGTATTAAAACCTTGCTACCCACAAAATCCCATATTGCGAATTACTTACTACAGCAAGTTTTTACTGACCAAGGAGAAAAACATACATGGTAACTCTTCAGCACAGAAGGTGGCCTCCCTCTCTGAGGGAGCTATTGCTGTGTAGCCATCACCTCCTCTTTCATCCCAATTGCTAAGGACACAATGAGCAAGGTTGTATTGAAAAAAAAAAAAAGAAAGAAAGAAAGAAAGAAAAAATTTAATGTGTCACTTGGCCATGAGAAAAAAAGAACAAAGCAAAGAAACAAATACACGGTTTTTCCATTTCAATCAGCAAAACATTAAGGGCCTATGAATGCCCTGTGAATGTGGCTAATGTTCTATAGCATGGTCTTGATGCTCTCCAGAGCCTGGCCTTTTGGGAGGGACCAGTATCTCTTTCAGACTTGGAAGCTGGGGATCCCTTTGGTTTTGGCTACCAGCGTATCTAATAGTATTGGATGGAAGGCCAGACAGGGAGGGAAGCTGGCGTTGTGTAGCTCTTCACTGTGCCAGACCTGATGCTGCTGTCATCATCTGTAGTGCCTGCCTCACGTGGCCCTGTCTTCCTGCTAACACGGCCACACTTATGACTTGATGTCTTATTTACAGCAGTAACAGCAAAGATGCAGCTCCTCCCAGACCTTGGAAAGAGACACAGTTTAATCACCACACTCCATCCTTCCTCTGCCAGCTGCCAGAACAGTGGTAGACATGTGGCAGGGTTCTACTGAGTACATGGAAATGTCTGCTGGGGTTTCATGGAAAGCTCTTGTTTTGTTAATGAAGAAAACCCCTTTCTTCCTGTTTAGAGTGTCACCAGGTGCAGATGTGACACTGGAGCTCACAATGGTGGATGTATTAAAATGTGAACAGCAAAGACATTTACAGACATAGGAGAGAGGTTACATACACCAAGGTTGGAAGCGCACCTACTTCTAGACTTATCACGTGAGATAATGAAATATTCCTTGTGTGAATATGGAGGCACTTGGTTTTCTACAACTGCAGGCAAAATTATTACAACTGTTCCTCACTAGTGGCACCATTACCTCCAGAAAGAGAAATGGTATGCACGGAGGAGAAGGAACCAGCCTTATCTTCCAGCAGCATGGATTTTACTTATAAGGCCCCTGAGATTAGAGTCAGTCAGAGCTAACCTTTCAGGCTCAAGCAAGCACCATAATAAACCACCATGGGGACCATATTCTGTGATCAGTGGTTGTCACACTAGATACTTCCTTTCTCAGAGGGTTGTAAGGCAAATGTAAATAAACTTCCAACTGATGCTTGATTTCTTCTTGTGACATTGACGACCATTTGAACTGTTGGAGTGTACTCCTTCAAACGGCTTTTGTTAGTGAGCAATCACACTGATGTGAAACACTGCTCCTCTATCAGCTCTGCTGCCTGATGGTCATATTTGCTAACAACAGTCAAACAGAATTACCAGGGAGAATGATGAAGGCTGACTCTGAGTTGCTGCTAAGACAGCTCTGCCAAAACAGAGCAGGGCTCTGTTTTCAGATGTGCAACATCAGGGTTGTTACCAAGGACACTTATATAGACACCATTTTTCAAGCATTCCTTCCATGATCAAGGGCATCTCTAGTTCCATTCAGCCTTTGGGGAAGCCTTCTGATGACACTCTACTCTGGAGCCCTTTCCTCAGGAATGCAGGCCTCTGCTGCCATCACCAAGTTGTCTCTGAAGCACTGGGGACACAACAGGGAAGGGACAGAAGCCTACCGCAAGAGGTCTGGGGTGGTGTGTGGAGAACTGACAGTCTAACTTCTCAGATTCGTCGGCTCCGTCCATCTCCCCTTCATCACTGGACAGTCGGCTGGCAAGGTCACCTCCAGCTGGGGGTAGTGGGGGCTCTGGAGTGTAACCACTGTGATTTGAAGATGTACTGCTGCTTATGCTGTTTGCAGATGATGGTCTAAGGGTGAGAGGGGAGAACACACATAAGTTTTCTTGAGGAAATCAGATCGGCCTATCTCATGCCACCAAAAAGGAGCCCTGCCATGATATTAAGAAGGGTGGGCCAATGGCAATTTTCTAAAACAGAAAAATTAAGCCTGAATGTTTGACAGTTCTCTACAATGGTCCACTAGAGTTAGGTGATCACTCTCTGGCTGCATCTGGGGTACAATACAAGCCCAAGGGAAAAACCCAAGTGCAAGCAGAGGGACTGTGACATGTGAACGTATCCAGAGCCTGTCTCCTGTGAGCTCAGCTATGAATACTCACCCAAGACCAAGTGCTACCAGCATTTTGACTTATGTTCTTCCAGACTCCCTTAGTGTATGCACATATTTTTAAAGCATAAGCCTCTCTCTCTCTCTCTCTCTCTCTCTCTCTCTCTCTCTCTCTGCCTCTTCTCTCTTCCTCTCTGCCTCTCCCTCTCTATGACTGACCATAGTGGTCAGCCATTAACTCTGTTTCTCTCCTCTCTTACTCTCTCTGCTCTGCAGGGCCTACAATAAACTGGTTAATGAAAAAAAAAAAAGCATAAGCCATTTTTAAGTAAGAACAAGATTTGAGACAGGATCTCCAGTATGGCAGGCCTTGAGCTCATTATGTAGACAAGGATGACCTTGAACTTTTGAGCCTCATGTCTTTACCTCCTGAGCACTGGGAACATAAACAGGTGCCACCATTCCTGGTTGATACAGGGCTGGGGACCACAGTCAGGGCTTCCTGCATGTTAGGCAAGCATTCCAGCTGAGTCACACCCTGCCCCCAGCCCTCAAGACAGATTTATTTTAAAAATTATTATTTTATTTTATGTGTATGAGAATTTTGTCTGCACGTATGTATGTCTTTTTGTCACTTGTGTGCCTCAGTGTCTGAAGAGGCAAGAAGAGAAAGTTGAATCCTCTAGAACTTGAGTTACAGGTGGTTGCAAACTGCCATGTTTATGCTGGAAATTGAACACGGGTCCTCTGGAAGAACAGACAGTGCTTTAAACCACTGCGCCATCTCTCCAACCTCAACACATTTTTTTTAAACTTAATGATATAGAAATTCTTTTGCGTATCACTATTTTTAAACATACTCAAGTAACAGTCAATATTGACATACCACAATTTATGCAGCTAATCCTAAATATTTGTTTCTAAATGTTCTAAATGGCCCATAATGGCAGGACCTTGTCCTGCAGGATAAAAGTGATCTGGACTTTTTTTTTTTTAATTGCATCTTGGTTATACAGGAAAATAACTTGTTTGTTTGTTTGTTTAGAGACAGGGTCTCTATGTAGACTTGGCTGGCCTAGACCTCTCTAAGTAGACTAAGTTGGCCTCAGACTCACAGATCTGCTTGCCTATGCTTCTTGAGTGCTGGAATTAAAGACATATATCGCCATCCCAGGTAAAATGTGTAACATAAAATGGCTTTGAACTTACGATCCTACTTGTAAGGATTCAGGTATTATGCTGGCAACCGACAGAATGCACTCAGGCAGTACCCTGGTCAGCCCAGATGCAAAGAACCCCTTTAAAAGAAAGACCTCCGCCCACACCCACTAACGCTCTCTTTGCCACTCCCCTCTTTCTGCTGTCTCTCTCCCTGTTCTCTTTCCCGCTTTCTCCCTGGGGCAGACAGGAGTTTTCCTGTCTCTCCCTCTCTCTCTCTCTCTCTCTCTCTCTCTCTCTCTCTCTCTCTCTCTCTCTCTCTCTCTCTCTCTCTCTCTCTCTCTCTCTCTCTCTCTCTCTCTCTCACACACACACACACACACAGAGAGAGAGAGAGAGAGAGAGAGAGAGAGAGAGAGACTTTGTCTCTCTTCTCTTTCCTTCCCCCTTCCCTCTCCTTTCTAATAAAACTTGTCACTAAGCTCTGTCTGCCTGGCATGTTTGTCTCTCCGTCTCGGTCACCCTTGCCTGCCATGGAACCCACACAAGGTTCCCCACACGCTTTCCCATAACACTACTGCCTCCATCTCTTCCACATGTCCTATTGGCTGCTTTCACTTTTTAAAGAAGTCGTTAAAGTGAAATGTCATGGTCTATGTATTCAAAAGACACTAATAAAAAGGCATTATAGGAAAATGGCAAAATATTAATGTAACAACTGTTAAAATGAGGTTAGGTAAGTATTCATCAATATATCGCTACTTTCCAGCATGTAGGGGACTTTTCATTAAAAAAAATTGAAAATAGAAACAAAAAGGCAGCGAGCAGCGACACCATATATGTAAGAACGGGACCGGAGATTGCCCTGTTTTCTGGTTTTATTTCTCTCCAGTTTCATAAAAGTATATTAAGGTCTCATGTAACCCAGGCTAGCCTTGAACTTGCTGTGAAGTAGAGGATGACCCCAATTGTCCTCTTGTTACCCACCAAATGACTGGAGTACAGGCATGGGCTACCACATCCTACAATATGTGTACCTTGTGAACTTATTTCAATCAAGTTAATTAAACAATTAACATACCTATCAGTTCTTAGAGTTAGCCCCTTCCAGGGTCTACTGGGGATTGAACCAGGGCTTTATGCAAGCTAGCAAAGCATCCTACCACTAAGCTACAACTCCAGCCCTCTTTTTCAGTTTTATTTTGAGGCAGTTTCACTAAGGCTGGCCTTGAACCTATGGTTTTCCTGCCGAGGATAATCTTGAACTCCTAACTCTTCTTCAAAGTTCTGGGATTATAGGCATGTACTGAGAGCCTTCCCTCCAGTACCGCTTTTTTTTTTTTTTTTTTTTTTTTTTTTTTTTTTTTTTTTTTTGCTTTCTTCACTTCACTATGTAGCCAAAGCTATCCTTGAAGTCACAAGCCTCCTGGCACAGCCTGTGGAGTGCTGGGATTATAGGCTGCACAGCTATACCTGGCCTCAAATTTCTTTATGTATTCATCCATATGCAGACACTTAGCTTGTTTTCCTACCTTGGCTATAGTGAATGATTATGCAATAATACCAGAGTATAAAGAGCTTCCATTAAATGAAGTATAGGAATCTCAGTCATTCACCAACGTCCCTCCCCAAATTCCACAACCAAGATATTTAAGGATTTTTTTTTTAAAGGCAAGGAAAGCCAAAGAACACCGAATAGCAGAAAGATGCTGGCAGCTATCCTGAATCCATGTGGGCTTTTTTATTGTGTCTGCTAAGGATTGGCTTAGAGGGAGCCACAGGAAATCAAAGAACATTTGGTGTGTACATGCCCGCCTGAGTGCATGCACACTCAAATGATAGGGCAGGAAGAACACCGAAAACTTGTCACATGTGTGTGAAAGGGCTGGAAGAACATAGGAAATTATCTGTCTCTTCAACTCAATTTTCCTATCCACCTAAAACTACTTTAAATATAAAGGATATTTAAAAGAATGTGTGAAGAAGACATCTGGAAAGTGGCCGCAGCTTCATCAGGACCTTGCAGATGGATGTACCTGAGAGGGCTGTGGCCATCTTGCTACAAGATTTGAAGGATAAAGCCCTAGGGACTAAACAGGGTAAGATTAAAAAAATTTTAAGGGGGCGGTGAAGAGGGCCGTTGAGATACAAAGTGGTCAAAAGCATTTGCTGGTGGTGACCTGAGTTTAATGTCTGTAAGTCACATAAAGGTGGAAGGAGAGGGTTGTCCTCTTACCTCCACATATGAGTTATCACATATCCCCCCAGCATACCATAGACACAGAGAGAAGTGGGTACAGAGAGGGAGGGAGAGAAAGAGAGAGACCAATCTCTGGGATTGGTACCCCTCATCTGTGGATTCTTTAGCACACTCGGGAAGAATCCTAACAACTGAAGCCTCAATAGTTCAGGGTTCTGCTGTCCGCACCTGAAGAACCTGAGCTGATAGAAGTCTGAGAAGATTTTCACATAGTTTAAAAAACAATGTGGCTGGAGAAGCACTGAGCACTGGAAAAGGAGCTGACTTCCTGTGGAGTTTCTAGGAAGCCTGGTATCTGCACCTACTGAAGGCTGCAAAACCTCTTGTTTATGGCAGGAGGATCAGGAGTTCAAGACCAGCATGGGCTACATATTAAGTTCAAGGCCAAACTGGGCTATATAGCATAACCAGAAAGAAAGAAAAGAAAGAGGGAAAGAGGAAGGGAAAGAGGGAGGGAAAGAGGGAGGGTTATAGATATAATAGTGTCCTCCATACAGGTCATCTCCACATCTACCAAATACCATCATGCCTGGCAGAACCCTGTGGCCATCTCAGACAACTTTCTAGGGAGAAGCAAAGATTGGAGAGGATGAACTGGAGAAGCTACAGACACAGGCTTTCAAGCATATCAAGGAACAGGAGTGAGGCACAGGTTGCAAACAGAAGCCAAGGACTCCCAGAGTCCCAGAGTCCTTAATGAGGACTCCCAGAAACTGAAGGTGGCCATGACATCATCAAGCAGCATTCATTTCTGGAGAAACTGACCAGCTGCAGGGAATCTTCCAGACCTTGGGTCATGGGGACTTCTAGCCAGCTTTCTGGGACCTATCTTCTAGCAATTGTCAGCAATTGCCTGGCATTTCTGGGGCAGCCCCAATGTGAAGCTGTCCAGCCAAGCACAAAAGACAACAGCACATAAGTGAAAAACCTGTGGTGATCAAGGGAGAGAGGAAAATCTGTCTTCAAATCTACTAGAATGCTATTACCTTGTTTGGAGTGAGGCTCAGTGGTATAGCAGAGTGCTTGCTTGGCCTATGAAAGGCCTTGGCTTTGGTCTCCAGCACAACCAACTCTTCAAACCAAAGCCAAACAAACAAAAAGAGGTATCACTTCAGAGAAATGACTACCTTGTAAAATAATCAGATAAACATGAGGCAAGCTGGGCATGGTGGCATAGGCCCATAGTCCCAGCTACTCAGAAGGCTGAGGCAGGAAGATCTTGAGTTTAAGGCCTATAGTGAGACACAGTGGTGGTCTGAATAAGAATGCCCCAAATAGGCTCATATATTTGAATTCTTAGTCATCAGAGAGTGGCTCTATGAA